AGGGGGGGCGCCGCCCACCGCAGGGGGCAGCCGGGGGTGCGCCCGGCAGAGCGCCTAGCGGGCACTGGCGCCCTGCCGCTGCACAGGGGTCCAAGCGCGGCTGAGCCCGGGGGTCACGGCCCCGGACACCTCGGCCGCGCCCCACTCGTCCCCATGTGGCAGCCTGACCTGAGCCAGGCCTGCGCTCTAGGTGGGTAGGGGTGAGGGGTCGTGGACATTGCGAGGTGGCCTCGAGTCGGCGAGTGGGGAGATTCGCCCCCCGGAGTGCGGACTGGGTTGGAAGAGATCCCTGGGGGAAAGTTCTTCGTGGAATAGGATGCACTCTGGGCCGCCCCATGTGCAGTCAGCAGTCCCTGTGGGTCACCCTGGTCCCCGTTGGCGGTGGTTTCGCGGGGGAGTTGGGTTAGGGGGCCTGATCTGGTCTCCCTCTTCCCCCTTCCCCTCCCCGTGCCGCCGCCCCTCCGCTTGGCCCGGAGGTGGGGGGCCTGGGGCCCTCGGGGGCTTCGGCTTTGAGGCCCCAAAAGCCGCCAGAGGCCTCCAGAGAACTCGGATGTAAAGGGCTGCCCTCTTGCCCCTGCTCCAGAACGGGCTGGCCTGACAAGTTGATAGTATTCTAGATTTCCCCTCCCCTGTTGGGAGTTGGTGGGTAGGGACGAGGATCCCTCTCCCTGCTTTTTTGGTTGGTGTTTTCTTGCTGGGTGCTGGGTCCTTTCTAGTCTCTGCTTAGCTTTACCTCTCATTTGAATAATGTCTAATTCGGGGAGGTTTATATTATTGAAATGGCCGCCTGGCTTTCCCCGCCTCTCATGTTTAGTAATTTAGACCTTTAATAACAGCCACTCACAGCCCAACGCCGTGTTTATATTTTACATTCGCCCCATGTGCTTTTGTGGTTCGATATGATTCTTTTTTTTTTCCTTGGCAATCCACAGGGCTCTGAGATCAAACCCAGACTGTGCTGGGAAGAGAAGGGAAGAGCTAGGCCTTGGCTCTTCTTGCCTAGGCCTCATGTTCTCTGCCGCTTGATTTATTTACTAATAAGTCAAATCACTCCCCCCACCAACTACCACGCATACCCACCTCCGCGGGCAAAATAAACCCTCCTGGGGCCTTAGCAACATTAAAACAGCTCCTAGCTAAGCATAAACTGGTGTTTTGTTCTCAAAAAGACTTTCTTATAGTTTCAAGTAGTATAGGCCTAAGGAAAAAAATCTGTCTTCTTTCTTATTTTCAGAGGCTTATAATATATTTTGGTTTAATACAAATCACTTCGTTTTGGGGCTCATTCCCCCCTGGTTCCCCACCCCTCAAGTTAAACACTTTCGGGCTTTGTAAAGGTCTGTAGAATTTGTGAAACCAATACAGGTTTTTTTCTTCCTTTCTTTTTTCTAAGAGTTGTGGAATAGCTAAGTATTTTAGAAATTGCAGTTAATAATACTTTCATAATTTTTCAGTGCAGTGTTCCCTTTCCAGTCTCTTTCATTTCACTTTAAAATGGGGCTGACATTAATTTTGTGCCTTCACTGTCATAGACTTGCTTATTTTAGTTGTAGCGCTACTGAAACCAGAAATGGGGTTATGTTTTCCCTGAGTGTTTGTGTCATGGTTAAATGAGTGAAAATAGAAGAATAAACACAGGCATTGTGTCTACTCTGATCTTGGGACTTACTCCCCTCCCAGCACACCCGCCAGTCTTTAAGTTGTCAGAACTGATTTTATGTTTTATCTGGGCTTAGGACAGTTGGTTTATGAAAGGCAGATTAACTTTTGCTGTTTAGAGGAAACAGTAATTTTGATTTTTGACCTTTCCAGGGTAGAGTTTTTATTTTGTGTAGTTGTAGTGTGTTTTTAAAAAAAAAATGGTGTTGCTTCTCCTTGGTGATTGTTTACCTCTGCTGGTGGAGGGGAGTGACAGTGTTGTTTAACACTGATGTGTTAAACCTTTGAAATTATGTTAAGGCACTTTATGGTCAGTTTCTAGTGACATATTTTGTGGGAAATTAGTCTTCGGCTTATTTTTTTAAGAAAATTCTAGATTTGATTGACTAAAATCAAGCCAATTTCGAACAACCAGTTCTCACCACATTTTCTTCTTTCATCCCCAGTAGGCAGGCGTTGAATGCAGCAGGGAAAAAAAAATCTGTAGCTTTCATGAGACTATTCAGGTGAATGCTTCAGAGACCTGAAGCATGAGGTTGGATGGACAAAAAGCAGTAATATGATTTCATGCCTTAAATAACATATGTTTTTGCACCGATTCCCAAGATGTGGTCAAGCTGATGATGTCATTGGACAGAGGACAAGGTGCAGTTAATTTGATTTATTGTCCTGAGGTGAAGTGTAGCAGTGAAACCTTCTCATAGGGAAACCATTTATCTCAGGACAATTTCCTTTATAGCTGCAATTTAACCACTATGGAGGCTGTAGATATTTTATCCCAGATGATAAAATGTACATTGCATTTTATAAACAAAATTTTAGTGTTACTTTTTTTTAATACAGAAAGGATGGGTATTGTTAACTGGACCCTTGGTTGGCTTTCTGTGCTGTTGTGGAAATTCATTTCCTCAAATTCTTAAATTTGGTTTTTTAAATCATAGAAGTGATCCTTATGCATGCTTATTTTAGGTAGGTTCTTTATGACCCCCAAACTCCAATAAAGAAGCCATGTTACTTAATCTGAGCAGGTCTGAGGCTAAAGGAGAGACCGTTTGGCTTAGAAACTACCTAAAATAAGATTATTTCAATAAATAAAGTGGACTTGAAGAGAAGGAGGCTGCAATTATAGTGTTTAAAATAAGTAGAATACTTACAGGAAAGCATGTGCATTGAAAACAGTTTTAAAAAAATTAAGTTAGAATTATACTTGGATTTGTCTTAAATTAGTCTCTGAAAAAATTTGTGTATTTTATTTTGATTAATGATTTCAAAAAATTTCCACTGCCAGGTAGTGATTCCACTTATGATTTTTGGCATATTAGAAGACTTTTCTTCTAGTGATTTTTCATCATAATTTTAACTAGTTTATCTTAAAATGACAATTAAAATGTCCTGGGAATGTCATAGAATTGCTTTGCTTCATTCCTAATCCTAGTTTATGAGCCAAGCTCAAATAGAGTGTTTTCATTTACTTTTGAGCTTTCTACCTGCCTGTCTTCTTTTGCATCTGTCAGACCACTTTCCACAAGATTCCATTGTCACTTCCTTCTTAACTTGCCCCACCTATTAATTATAATAGTACTTTTGAATTTAAGGTCTTGAAAATTTGTGACAGCTGACCAAATGTTTTTAATTTCTAAAGGCCCATACTACTTCCAAGCCATTACCATAAAAATTATTTTTAACCTCTTCCCCCAAAGTCATTTCTAATTCCTGTCATTTCGTCATTGTCAAAAATCCCAGTAGTCAAGGGAAAAAAACAAACAGTGGCTATTATTATAGGTTTAAATGGTGTAGTGTTCTGCTGTTTTTAAATTTACTGTTCTCTGCATCAATAGGTAGTATAAAGCAGAAGGAAATAAAATATATTTATTTCATTGCTGCCTAGGTTGAGGTAATTGTTAATCTGTGTTAGTCATCTAGCCAGTGGATTTTGGAATGAATTTAGGGTACAGGCTGTTAAATTGTTCTTATCAACATTTTTATGTTTAATAGAGCCTCGAGTATCTTAACCATTTAACCATTAACCCATTGCCGTTGAGTCGATTCTGACTCTCATTGACCCTACAGGATATAGTACTGCCGCATAGGCTTTCCAAGGCTGTATGTCTTTAAGGAGGCCAACTACCACATCTTTCTCTCGTAGAGTGGCTGGTGGGTTGAACTGCCAACCTTTTGGTTAGCCGAGTGCTTAAGTACTGTGCCACCAGGGCTGCTTTTGAGTATCTTAGGCAGCATAATACAGTGATTCTAAAATGACAGAATTGGAAATATGAATGTTCTCTTTCATAAGTGTTTTCCAGTAAGAAATGAAACATTTGAAGTGTTTATTGAATCTGTATTGCTTGATCTTGAAATATAGTTGTGTTTTTTAAATTGGTCCCTCACTTTCCTGAATATCTGTTTCCTTTGTATTTGGAAGACTTGTGGTGGTGACTGCCATATTGTTACTTTATTTAATTTTTAGTGTTGAATAACTACAGCCCCAATCTTTGCATATCAGTCTTCTTTCAAGCACCATTAAAATTAATTTTATTTAAAAATATTCGTGTTTGATTGTCATTAATTTGCTTTTATACAGTGGTATGGGTTCAATCACACAATTTTTGTGATTAGTAAAGAGTAGTGGATAGACTTATTATGAAGCCTGATTTTTAGCAGGATATATTTTTCCTAATGAAGTGATTGCATTTAGAACTATTGAAATAATTATTTAGAGAATATAATAAGTCACAGACAAAACATTGCCCCTCTTTCGTAATCTTTGTTCTTCTTTTTGATGCCTCCTTTAATGCTGAATGCTTGAGCAAACATACTTATTACTTATTTCTTCAGGAAATCTAATATTAGG